TAAATAAATAAATAAATAAATAAATAAATAAATAAAAGGTGTTTAGTTAAAGTAGTGAAGGAAATTGAAGACAGAATGTCAGGGAAATGTTCTAAAGGCAAACGAGAGTGGAATGTGTTGTTTATTGTTTAGAAGTGGGGGAGGATAAAGGAAGAGGGTTAGCACTAAATGATTTGCTTTTCTTGAGTTAAACACTGTTCCAACAAATTAGAGGGTTTATGAATACCAAATCGGTGTTTTATTATTTTTTTGTCATGGGTAGCTTAGCTTTGCTTTTGTCAGTAGCAAGGGCAGGCATTCCACAAGGTTCTGTAAGAAACTTTCTTCTGTCTTAATTTCTTTGCTAACTTCCTGGAGCTACATCAGGATACAGAGAGACCAAGAGATTTGCCCAAGGTCGGAAACAGAATCAGAGTTGAGTTTGGAACTTGGTGTTCAGAACTGGGAACCCTGTTCAGCTCATCATCTTCTTTTCCTCCTCTTACTGTTTGTTCTAAAGTGCCTCCCTCTTACCTCACTCTGCCTCCTCCTTTTGTATTTTGTATCCTTAGAGGAAGGCCCATCCATAGCATAGAAATTACTTTAATAATTAATTTCAACAAGCGTCAATATAGTGTTAAATCCTTAACGTTAATTGATTAGAAAGGCAAGATAGTTGTTGAGGAAAAGGATGGTATATTTAATCCACGAATTAGGTGAATGATACAGGACTGTTTTAGATCTTGTTTTTCTCTAGCATCTCTGCTGAAAGTCCTCTGTTTTTAGAAGTTTCAAGTGTGTGTCAGTGCTCCTTGGTGACAGCATCTCATTTTCATTTCCTACTGTTTCAAGATTATGATATACCCATGAATAACACATACATACCTATTAGAAGTGGGTAGGGCTTCTGAAGGACCTCTTTGTTTCAGTGTCTTGGAATTAAAAGGACAAATCCATTTAAAGAAGTAATTTGATGGGTGACTCATTTTATTTATGATACTTGTTTTCTTAGATTCTCAAAAAGCCAATATTTGAAAAGGACTTGTCATATTCTAGTGATAGAGTGCAGGCTTTGTTCACTGGTGTTTCAGTCCCACCTCTGACTATTGTTAGTAGCATGACTCCTCAGCAAGGCGTTGAACCTCTCTGGGACTTAATTTCCTCATTTGCAGCATAGACATAATAATACAGACTTTATTTATTTATGTTAATTTATTTTTGAGACAGAGGCACATGTGAAAATGCACGGGTGAGACAGGGGCAGAGAGAGAAAGGGAGAGAGAGAATCTCAAGCAGGCTCCACACTGTGAGTGAGAAGCCCGACTTGAGGCTCAAACTCACAAACCGTGAGATCATGACCTGAGCTGAAACTAAGAGTCGGACGCTTAACTGACTGAGCCACCCAAGTGTCCCAGACTTTATTGTTTTTTAATGTGCATGTGGGTTCTAAGTAAGATAATGTATATAGTGTGTGGCTCATAATATGCATTCAATAAATGACGCCTGTGATATTATGATTCATAAGAAAAGCATATATTTGGTTGTTCATACGACCAAAATATATTTCTCATATTTATTTGGTCTTCATCCATGGTTCTTGGCTTACAGCTCACAAAACGCTTGGAATTTCCTAAGTGTTCAGAGTAATAAAGGCTTCTTGTTATGTTAATGAGGTGACTTTTGGAAAGCATCTAAGGATGGGGGCTGGTTGCTGGTAGAACTAACCCTTCAGTAAGAGGGTTGGAGTTTTTAGTCCTATCCCCCAACTTCTTGGGAGAAGAGAGGCCTTGAAGTTAAATCAGTTGCCAACAGCCAATGATTTAATCAATCATGACTATGTAATGAAGCCTGTTTAAAAACCCAAAGTTCAGAGAACTTTTGGGTTGGTGAACACGCAGAGATTTAGGGAGTCTAGATTGCCTGGAGAGGGCATGGAAGCACGAGGTGCTTGCCTTATGCATCTCTTCCATCTGGTTGTTCCTGAGTTATATACTTTTATAACAAACTGGTAATCTCATAAGTTAAATGTTTCTCTGAGTCCTGTGGGCCACTCTAGCAAATTAATTGAACCCAAGGAGGTTCAGATTGGCATCTGAAGTGTGGGGGTGCAGTCTTGTGGGAGTGAGCCTTCAACCTGTGGAATATGATGCTATCTCTGGATATGGTGTCAGAATTGAGTTGAATTGTAGGACACCCAGCTGGTGTCCAGAGCAATGCTTGTTGGTTTGGGAACCCCCACTCCCCACATTGGAATTAGTACTAGAACTCATTTAATGGCTGTTAGTCTAACTCTTTAATTTGGACTAGAATTTTTCTGAATACAATACATAATTTTACAATTATACAGAAGTTGTATGGTATGTATAATTTTAACTAATACTGTATTGTACAATAAATAATAAATTTAGGAGAGATGATAGTGATGCATATTTGCAAATTCTCCTTTTTGTGCATGTTGGAAAATTACAGTTGCATCAAAATACTAACTTCTAGATCATACTGACTTAGAGTATATATGGGCCTTCTTTAGAGAAAGCATTGCCCACATTTAGCATTACCATAGTATATCTTTTCTTTAAACAGCATAAAACAACATAAATCCAGTTTGTATGCTCTTTTTTTCCAAGATTTCCAAAGTATTTCTCCATTTATTCTTTTATTAATCCTTCCAATATCCCTGAAAAGAGAGTAAAGTCTTGTTTTATTAACTTCAATTTAGAAATGAGGAAGATTGAGCTGGAAAAAAGTTAAGTGACATGCTAGAGTTTAAGTGGTAATACTAGAGATAATGAACATAATAGAATTAATAACACTGTGATAATAGAATTAAAAATGAATATTGCTGAAAATTTTCTTCTTTCTCCCAGAGAATAAATTTAAGGAAAATATTTGATTCTATGGTATGGAGTAAACCATTCTTAGTATATCTTTATCTTTTGGAAATATTAGGTGAAATTTAGGCAAAGATGGGGGTAGAGGTGAGAAAAACAGCGGAGTCCAACTGGAGAAACAGGACTACTTAGCAAGAGCATAAGCTAAGCCCAAGTAACAGAAAAGTTCTACAGCCAAGAGATCAGGAGCTAAGTCAGAAAAATAGTTGTGTCTGGTGTTATTAGACCTTAGAGAAGTACTGCAATTCTTGTAGTCAATGTTGACGTACTATCCAGTGACTATTTTCAGTGGAAAGACTCATGCTCTGACCTGATTGGCATTCTTACAACTTACCACCAATTTCAGCTCTGAGCTAGTTACCTGGTTTTATTTGGAATTACAGTATCTTTGTGTTACCTTTAAATGTGCCTTAGAATATTTGTGTAAGAATAGCTTTGGGTGTCTTATCTAGAGGAAGCTTAGAACTCCGTGTGTCTGTTTTCTGGTTAATAAAACTGAGATTCATTCTTTTCATATATTTAAGAGAAGGGAAAAGGCCCGCAGTCTTTTTTCACGGATCCTAGCATTCATGATTCTGAATCCTACTTCCTGGACAGTAACCATTGTGTGGTGAAATTTTTGCATTTTCTTCTGGAAATATCAATATAACTTTTTGAATATTGACTGCAGTTCTTGGTAGATTCAATTTAAGAAATTTTACATGATCTGTTTACTTAATTCTAACAAATCATGTGAAATTGTGGGGGGGGAGTGGGTACTTGATTTGATTTACCTACTATGAATATTATAATATCCCCAGGGATTTCTTTCCAAGTTGGTGAAGAAGGGACATGGTAGAAGGATCATGAGTCTCTTGCTTCAAGAACAAGAGCAGGAATGGGAAGGAGGAAGCCTTGCTTAGTTGAGTATCTACTATATTGTAGGGAGATACGAAGAAAAAACAGCTGAGGGAGTTAGGAGTATTCATGAGTTATGTAGTTTGAGATGGATGTTTGTTAAAGGATTGCCTCAGGTAAGCTGAGGTATCATGGGGGAAGGCAATGCGAACTGGCGTTAGTCCAATATAACCATCACCCTGCTGGTCTTCCTCAGCTCTTCCTGTCTGATTTAGAGGCCCCTCCTTGGTGGTCCTTGTTCATACTTCTTGCACAGGGGTCTTACTGTACAATTGGTTGTGCTGTTTGCCCAACTATTTGCAGCTTGCATGAAGTCAAGAGGTACAATTTATTTGTCATTTTCATTTAATGCTGTCCGAATTAGCTACGTGATTCTGTATACGTCACTTATCCAAGCTGAAGTGTACCTGATTTGTTAATAAATTGGTTGAGGGTGAATGTTGCACTAGATCCATGTTTTTCAAACTGTGGGTGTGACTTAGCAGGACAGGATATCAATATAATGGGTTGTGGCAGCTTTAAAAAAAATATCAGTACATTCTGAGTTGTAATGGTAAGTAGTGTACATTATTGGAAACTTTTGTATTAGTTATATATTTGTTATGTATATCACACTGCAATATGAAATGTATTTCTTACTATGGTTGTACTCAAAATTGTTGAATGCCTCTGGACTAGATTAAATCTAATGTTATTTCTAGTTATTTATTTGATGATTCTATATATGTGATAGGACAGATCCTTTTATTACAAAAGGCATGTTTCACACTATACCATACTATTCCACTAAGTGACTTAAAATGGAGATAATTTTATTATTTTTATTTTGTTAACTGTCTTTTAATTGAAAAACAGAATAGGTACATATGTTAAAAACTCAGACATTTCTAAAGGACTTACGGTAAAAATTGTCTCCCTCATTAAGGTTTCTGCTTTGTCAAGATGTTTCATTTACCTGAATACCTGCCAGATTATTTCTGGGTTTACATTTTCCTTATATGGCATTTATTTGATTTTTGAGGGCAGAGAGAGTTTAATAAATTTGTTTGGTTGTAGGTAGATGATAAAACCCATTGAGAGAGAATATGTTTGAAAATTCTATTTGCAGATGGGTTTATTCATTCATTGAGTCATTTACAGTCCTATTTTGAGAGTCCCCTCTATGCCAGAAACTATGTGAGGCTCTACATATTGAGAGCTCCTTCAAAAACTTGGTGACCTAGGAGACTACAAGGGTTGATATGCACTGTGCTGTTATTGTTAGGGTAACCAGGCTAATGATTCTTATGTGAGGCATTTGTTAAAAAGTAGTTGGTAGTGTCACGATGTTGTCTCCAAATATTTGAGGAGCTGTTAATTGGAGAGGGATTAGATTGACTCTGTATGTCCCTAGAAGCCACAAACAGATGAGTGAAAGTTACAGGCAGACAGATTTAAACGTAAGAGAGAGTGCTCAACAGAAGAGTGAAGAATGGAAGGAGTTCCTTGTGAACTAGTAAGTATTCCATTACCAGAAGGATAGAGACTGGGAATTAAAGACTGACTAGCTTCTTGGCATGGTGTAGATGGGAGACAGGTTGAGAAAAAGGACTTTGAAGGTTCTTTATAACTTGAAGTCTATGATTTGGCTTGCTGGGTATCAGAGAGTAAGTAGCCTGGCTTTAAAAATGTATGTTTTTGATAGATTATCTCTAAGTAGATAAAAAGTGTCATATAAAAGGGTTAAGCCTTCCTCCCTGGGTCCAGTCTTTCTAGGACTTCAAAAATCAGTTGTAGATGTAAAGAAACTAGAATCTCTCACAGAAGCAGTTATGAATAAAAATGTTTTGGGGCGCCTGGGTGGCGCAGTCGGTTAAGCGTACGACTTCAGCCAGGTCACGATCTCGCGGTTCGTGAGTTCGAGCCCCGCGTCAGGCTCTGGGCTGATGGCTCGGAACCTGGAGCCTGTTTCTGATTCTGTGTCTCCCTCTCTCTCTGCCCCTCCCCCGTTCATGCTCTGTCTCTCTCTGTCCCAAAAAAATAAATAAAAACGTTGAAAAAAAATGTTTTAGTAATAAATTGTATTATTCTTTGAAAAAAAACGGAATAACAGCTTGATCATAAAATCTGCTTTAAAAATCCATCTTTTTCCAGTGGTATACTAGTCTAAAAACCCATTTTAAAAATTTACACTTAGTCTTTTTCATTTCTAAAATCCTCTTCCTAAATCTAATACATATTATAATTTCCTTATTCAGAACGTTCGTATTCTAGTCCAGGTCCTGCCCTCGTACCTGGAGAACTCAAGTATCCTGCTCTCTCCTTTCCTCCGTTTCTCATTCATCCTTCCCATGCTAACATTGCTGCTGTCAGATTAATTTTCCAACACGCAACTTTCACGTCAGTGTCCTCAAGAACTTGCAGTTACCGTTCACCTTTTCAAACCTATGTGATTTTTAAAACATTCTACCTATCTGGCTTTTGTTTCCATTCCTCTGCAATGTGTTTTCCTCTCACTTTTCTCATCTTTTCTGTGTGTAAAGTGGTCATTTTTAAAAAAAAAATTTTTTTTCAACGTTTATTTATTTTTGGGATAGAGAGAGACAGAGCATGAACGGGGGAGGGGCAGAGAGAGAGGGAGACACAGAATCGGAAACAGGCTCCAGGCTCTGAGCCATCAGCCCAGAGCCCGACGCGGGGCTCGAACTCACGGACCGCGAGATCGTGACCTGGCTGAAGTCGGACGCCCAACCGACTGCGCCACCCAGGCGCCCCAAAGTGGTCATTTTTGACTACATAGGAACAAGCATGGCCGGGCAGAACATGATCTTCTGTGACCAAAAGGAATTCCAACAATCAACACATATTTGAGCACTTACTTTGGATGAAAAGGCAATTAAAAAGTATTTGCCCTCAACAGAATCTGATGTAGACTAACATAGAGTGTCCTCCAGAACTTTTGAAGTGTTGTGGTAAAGAACATTCAGTCCGTGGAGCTGGGCCGCATGCATCCCCATCCTAGCTTTGCCATTTAAATAGCTCTTTCATCTTAGGAAATCACTTCACCTCTTGGTGCCTTGGCTTCCTCATCTGTATGATGGCGTAATAGTAGGGCCTACCTCCTAGAGTAGTTGTGAAGATTAAATTAGTTAATACATGTAAAGCATTTGGGACAGTGCCTATCACATAGCAACAGTTTTTTACTGGGAATGGAAGTTTAGGCAGAATTTGGGTGCCTTTAGAATTAGAGTGTTCTAGATGATTCAAAGGAAATATCTCTTTGGAGAGTCCAGGAAAGATTTCGTGAAAGAGGGAGAATTTGAAATGCACATTAGAGAGGGAGAATTTGATAAGTTGAGAGGGCCAGAGGCAGAGGTCACAGATTGCAGCCTTCTCTGACCTCTTGATGACTCTAGAGGTTCCATGCTGTTCGACGCTTTAAGGTTTCTGATTGATTTACATTGGTTTTTGGTCTCTGAGGCTGACTGCAAACTCCTTATTGGTATTCCCTACAGTATTGTGAACAATTATGTTTTAGGTACTAATTTCTATTGAGTTTTCACTGATTAAATTGTTGGCCCAACTTCAGATGGGTTGGGACTAGGAATGAAAATTACAGCTTTTAGGGGCGCCTGGGTGGCGCAGTCGGTTAAGCGTCCGACTTCAGCCAGGTCACGATCTTGTGGTCCGTGAGTTCGAGCCCCGCGTCGGGCTCTGGGCTGATGGCTCAGAGCCTGGAGCCTGTTTCCGATTCTGTGTCTCCCTCTCTCTCTGCCCCTCGCCCGTTCATGCTCTGTCTCTGTCCCAAAAATAAATAAAC